AAGCTGAGTTGGTGCAGAGGGGACTAACTGTACCATGTCACTGTCACTGCACCTGCAGTGGGAAAGGTGATTTTTTTTTTCCAAAGAAAAATCATGGCTCAGATACAAAATAAAGTGAACGCCTGCCAAAGACGGTATTTGCTTGTTAATTCATGAAGAGTCAGAACGATATGCAGCTGGTCTGCAGTGCAGACGGGGATGCGCGGATGGATTCTGCCAGAGCCTACGCCTGCAGAGTTGTGGACTCGCCCAAAGACAAGGAAAGGAGACCCGTCCCATCAGTAACCAGACACCCGGAACCTCACACCCTCCCTTCCAAGGCCTCCCAAACCTTAGAAAGGGGCCTGGTGAACAAGCAGACGTGTGACAGCGTCAGGACAGCTCCTGGAACTGCCCACCCTGTCCCTCCCCACACGCTCTGGAGGGAACACACGTGGACTCATGGTCCTTGGTCACTTAAGAGCCATAGAAACTGACTTAAGTCCTTTAAGGCTCAAGTCTCTCCTTAGTAATTAAATTGCCAAGTCCTGGCGAAAAATCCAACTGAACAGCTCTCCGGGTGGAAAGGCCTCTCCTCTTGGGGACTCAGGAAGGGACCAGGCACCCCCACCTTTTCTTGCTCTCCTCCCGTCCCCTCCCCAGCCGCAAGGAATGCAGCCGGCAGGAGGGTGGGCAGGGGACGCAGAGAGCTGCTACTTGGCTTGGTTGGGCCTGACCACCACTGCCTCTCTGCCTGTCCCTCAGGTGTTGTGCGGGTCCCCTGTGGTTCCTGGGGTCCCATGATGGGGGTCCCCTTCCCCTCTAGCCCCTGGTTTCTGCAGATGAGATGGGACTGGGGATGCTCCCAATTCAGGGGCCTGCCACTCTTGGGCTGTAGGACCCTCTTGTGTGGCATCTTGCATTTCTATTTCTTCCCCTGAAGGCCGCCTTGTGCAGCCTGGAGCAGCCGGGCCATGTCCTCCTGGCCTTGTGGGCGGGTGCAAAGCCCAGCCTCCCTCCCCAAGAGCTCAGCTCTCTGGGCCTCAGTGTCCTCATCTGTAAACTGGGCATGATCATGCTCATATTTCCTAGGCATCATCTGGTGAATCCAGGGGAGCTGATGTGCGGTGCTCACTATGGCTGGGCGGCCTGAGCAGGGCCCCGGGGCGCTCGTCTGTCCCCGCCCCCCTCTGTCACAGACAGGCCGACACTGCAGTTCTCATTGGGGAACAGAGTTTATTGAGGCAGCCGCCTGGCCCTACTCCTCTTTCTCATCGCCGTGGGTGATGATGTAGCACAGGGACTTGTAGTCGATGTTGCCAGCCAGGTCCACAGGTGTCAGGGCGAACAGCTGCTCGACCTGTGAGGCCCCACAGCGGAGGTGTGGCCCCAGGGCTGTGCTCTGGGCCTCAGCCTCTTCCACCCCAACTCCAAAGCTGGAGACCAGTGTTTTTCTGTTGGCCGGCGTTGGGCGGACTGGGCAGTGGGCCCACATGGGGGCAGAGACACCCCTCTCCTTAGGGTCGCTCTTCCGACACAAGCACTGGGTTGCACACAGCCTGCTCCCTCTGACCCCCCAAGCCCACGGGACAGCGCGCGCGTCTCCCCAGTGAGGCCTCCCCAGTGCCCTGCCGGGAGGGCCGCAGGGACAGGTGCTGACGGGCCTGAAAGCCTCACCTCAGCAGGAGAGAACTTGTCTGCCTGGGTCAGGAGCAGCTGCTTGAACCTGCAAGTGGGGAGGCAGGGTGGCCACGGCCCAGGGATAGGCCTCCAAAGAACACCCCACGCAGGTGGCCTCTCCGCCCTCTGCCCACCAAGCGGCCCTGGTGTGGAGGGGGTGCTGGGGTCCGCACTTACTCATCCTTGTTCACCACCCCCTGGCCGCTGGGGTCAAACATGCGGAAGGCACTCAGGATGGCTTCTTCCGGGTCGGTCCCTGGGAGGCCGAGGCAGGGAGGTGAGCACTCATCCCAGCCCCCAGGCCTGCCCAGGAGCACCAGGTGCACAGGGAGCTCTCTGTGACCCAGAAGTGGTGGTCGGGGGTGGGGGCGCCGGGAACAGCCTTCTTCCTCAGGAGGTGGGCCTGGCTGGGAGCCTGGCACCTGGGAGGACAGCACTGGGATGGCCGGGGTGGACGCGGGTTCTCTGGGAGGGCTGTGGCCAGGCAGGGTCCAGACAAGGTCCAGGTGGGGCCTGGTGGAGTTCAGGTGAGCTTCATGTGGGGTCCACAGGGCTCATGGGGCTCAGATTGGGTTCCCATGAAGTTCTGTGGGGTTCTTGTGGGTTCTTGTGGGGCTCACAAGTGGGGGCCCATGGGGTTCAGGCCTCTGTCTGCCAAGAGGGCCAGGCCCTGCCGCCGGCTCACCATTGAGCTTCTCCCCGAAGAGTGTAAGGAAGACGGTGAAGTTGATGGGGCCCTTCCCCTCCTGCAGCATGGCGTCCAGCTCCTCCTCTGGGACACTCACCTTCCCTGTGGAGATGGGGTGGAGAGGAGCACAGGGACTCTGGTGGTGCAGAGCAGGGCTGGGCTGCCCTCCCCGCTTCCCCGCCATGGGGCGCCTGGGCAGGAAGAAGGGGGGTGATGGGGGAAGGGAAGGTCTCTCTGCAGGACCCTGGGCAGGGCAGGGCGGGCTGTGGGGCCGGGGCTCACCGAGCTGGGAGTAGGTCTCTCTCAGGTCTGACTTGCAGATGATACCGTCCCGGTTCTGGTCGATGCAGCTGAAGGCCTGTGAGAAGGGGACTTCAGAAGGGAGTAGGAGGACCAGGGCTCGGAATCGGAACCACAGAGAAGAGGGGCCCTGAAAGGGTGGGGAATGGTTGGGAGGGCACTCACTTCCTTGAACTCCTGGATCTGGGCTTGCTCGAACATGGAGAAGACATTGGAAGAGCCACGCTGGGCCTGCTTGGTGGCAGCCTTGCCCCGCGTCCCAGCCTTCCTGCTGGCCTGCAATACCAACCGGGGCAGGTTCCTCCCGAAGCTCCCCAACCTCCCTTCCCTACCTCAAACTCCAGCACAGCCCAGGTGAGGGTCCTCGTCCACCCCTGGGGACACCTCCCTGGGCCCGGCACAGGCACGAAAGTCCTTGGCTCTGTCACTCCCGGCCCCAAGCCTAGCGCCTGGTCACCAGCACTCACCATCCTCTTTCCAGCAGCCCAGCTGCACCCTCTGGTCACCAGGCCCCCTTTATGTCACAGCCTTATCACCTGGAGGTCCAAATAAGGAAAAGAGTGGAGGACAGGCCCAAACTTGGCAGCCCCTGCCCGAGTCAGGGGAGGACGGACGAGGGCCCCAAGCAGATTCCAGCCACATTCCTGGGGACCTTCACATCCATGACCTGTAACATCCCGGGCTCTGAGCATCTCGCGTGTCCAGGTGCCATGTCTCCCCACAGCACAGTGGCTCAGAGCGCTCGCCAGGGCCCTGTCACCCCCATCTGACCGTCCTTCCCACAGGTCTGGTCCAGACCCTGGCAGTCCAGTCCTGACCCTCTGGGCTGAGGACAGAGATGGACTTTGGCCTGACACTCCAGGATTCCTAGAGGTCTTGTTGAAGACAAGACAGAAGGCAGCAGCTCTGAGCAGGTGGTCACTCCGCAGAACCCTTCACTTGGCTTTGGAGCAGTTCTGGGGGGTGAAAGGCGCATCGGCTCCTGTCCCCGCCTCTGCCTCTGCTGCAGGGCCCTCCGCTGAGACAACCCCTCCTCCTGGGCTTGAGTCTTGCTGTCCCAAGAGCCCCATCTCAACTCCGCCTCCTTTGGAACTCTCTGATGTCCCCAGCTAGGAGCTGTGGGCACATTACCGGTTTTCCTGGTGACGGCTGATAGCTTTGTAGCCTCCTCCTGGGCACCCAGCCTGGTCAACATCTGTACTTCAAAGGCCTGGCACGCACAAGACCTGTGTGATGCTGTTCTGCAGGAAGCTTTGGGGTGTGGAAACTCCCTCAGGCCGTGCTAAACTGGGGACAAGGGCCAGGGCGCCCTCTGCTGTCCAGAGCAGCAGAGGCAGGGTTAGGGCTAGCAGCTAGAGAAGCTGGGGTCACGGGACATCTCGCTCCACCCCAGCTCTGCAAGGCTCAGCGGCAGGCTGGGAGGGAACAAGGCCCCCTTTTGTGTAAGTATTATAAGACATCCTTTACTGTCTGAAAATGAAATTCATTTATTTCAATTCAGACCTATAACCTACCACTGAAAAGTAAATGGAATGCAGCAATTGCAATATGAAGAGGTTGGAAGCCGTGAATATTAAAGTCCATCCTAACACAGAAGGGCTCAGACATGAGCCCACGCATCCCGAACATGAAGTAACCAGACGCTTGCATCACTTTACAACAAGGAATTTAAACTCAGGTGCACTCAGGAGGAGGAACAGAGGTAATGCCACACTCGAAAAACCAGAAAATGGGAAGATTTCAGGAGGATGTCATGTTTCAAAATCACAACTGTGGATTAAGTCCTGAATGAAACACGGCATGGTCCTTCCTGACTTGCAGGGTGGTTTTCCTGAATGGAGAAATGAACTGAAGTCACACAGGGTGGGTTTACGTGTCATCGTGTTCATGCTGCACAAAGACGGCATGAGGCCCTCCTTGGTAATTCATCTGCAGCAGCCTCTGGAAGGCCCTCCTGGCGTGACCTCTTGTACCCCTGAGCCCACTCACTGTCACTATCTGCATGGCTCTGAGGGGACAGGGCCCCTCTGAGACCAAGCTGCAGCAGGACTGGTCTGTTCCCAACCAGAGGAGCCCCGCCTGGCACCCCCACCCCACCCCACATTCCACGGGCAGGCGGGGCCCCGGCCCAGGGCAGCGCCATTCAATGCCCCAGCTTCCCCACGCTGCCCAGTTCCGTTCCTATAGCCCGGCCTGTCACACTCCCCATTCCCCTGCGCACTCTGGCTGGAGGGGGCAGCAAATTCCAAGGCACACTCAGTTCTACAGAAGATGTGTGCGTGACACTGTCTCTTCAGTGACTGCACCCTGGCTCTCGTGGACAGAGGTCAAAGAATAAGGCACAAGCCATGACTAAACCTTTTAGAATTTTTAATTAAAAACCCCATAGTCCCAGTCGGGGCATAGAGAGGGTCACGTGGCACATGAATGTCCTGATGAGGACAAGAGGGGACTGGGGAGGCCCCCTGAGTTGTGCAGGATGCTGCCGGGGCGTCTTCCTGGGCCTGTGTGAGAGCCAAGGATGCCATCCTGCCTGTGGGCACAGGCAGGCCCTGATAGTGCCAGGACCCCTTTGTGGGTCCCCTGGCATCTCCTGTGAGGAGTCATGCCAGAACCACAAGCCACTCGGGGTGGGGCTGTGTGAAGGAAAAGGCCCCCTGAGGACACCTGCGGCCTGGGAAGTACTTCCGCGCTACTGGGCCCTTTCCCGTGGGTCCCCAGAGCCACAGGCGGGAACAAGCCAACCCGGGTGACAGCTGCCCTCACTCCCCTTGGGCTCTGGTCTGATCTGGCCAAGTTTCGGGAGATGCCTTCCCCTGCACGGTGACGCCCAGGGAAGCCCGGCGAGAGCCGGATCCACAGGACCCCTTCCCCGGCCAGGCCCGGAGAACACGTCCTTCCCGGGGCAGGCCCAGGCCAGGCAGGCAGCGTGGAGCTGCAAAGTCCCGAGTGATCCACTCCCTTCTGGGTACTTGATTCCAGCCAGCAAGCCAAGGGGTGTCGGAGTCTCCGTGCCGGCTTCTCCTGGCGGCCACTCCAGCCAGGGCAGGGGCTCTGCTCCAGCCACTGAACCACAGGAGGGGCCTGCCGGGCTCCAGGGGCCTCTCCAGCCCTCAGACCAGCGGTGGCCCCGCGTCCGCCCTCACTGGCCCAGCATGCAGGCCTTCTTGCAGGCCACCGCGGACACCAGCGCGGCGCCCCGGCCGCTGCCCTCCTCGGACTCGATGAAGGTGATCTCGCAGCGCGGCGCCAGCCTGCGTACGCTGGCGTGGAACCGCTCCTTAAAGCTGCACGGAGGAGCAGCGTTAGGGTGAGGGTCCTCAGTCAGCCCAGCCCACGCCCGCCCTTCCGCCCGTCCGCGGGCTCACCTGGGGTGCAGCTTGTACACCGAGCCGTCCACGCCCACGGTGATGCGCATCACGTCCTGGCTGCGGCTCTCGCGCATGCGGTTGATGACGCCCGCCAGCCCCGCGGAGCACATGTGCGCGGCGCGCGTGGACACGCTCTCGCAGGCGCGGCGCACGATGTCGCAGTCGGCGGTGGAGGGCCGCAGCCCCAGCGTGCTCAGGATGTTGTGGATTTGCTTGCGGTCGCCCGGGTCGCTGCGGGGCGAGGCGGGGAGGCGTCGCTCAGGCCGGTGGCTCCAGGGCCGGCGCCCCAGGGACGCCCCTCCCCAGCCTGGGTCTCTGCTCTAGCGACACTGCCGCGGCTCGGGGCTGTGGCGCGGATGGAGCGAGACAGTGTCTGTGGCGAGCAGGGAGCTCGTAGGGCACCGGCGCGCTCCCGATTCTCTCCCCAGATTCTTCAGCCCGGGCACTCAGCCTCGCCTTGGACCCAGCCCCAAGTCCTTTAGAGTTTGCGCCCTTCGGGTCGTCGCCCCGCCCCAGGCCCCGCCCCGCCCCATCCCAGGCCCCGCCCAAGGCCGCGCCCCGCTCCCGCGCCCACCTCTCCACCTGCGACACGAAGCGCGTCTCGAAGGCGCCGCGCGTGCGCAGCTGCTCCGAGGCCTCCCCGTGGAACAGCAGGTTCTCGTCCACCAGCTTGAGCAGCACGAGCCGCACCAGCTCACCCATGTACTTCCCGCCGATGAGCTTTTCGTACCTGCAGGCAACGCGTCGGTTATGTGGGCGAGCGGGGAGGTGCCCAACGCCCCCGCGCGGTTCCGAGGTGGCCCCGTGGGACGCTGTGACGCCTCTGCCCACCCCACCTCGATTGCCCTGATTTCTGGGTTTCCCGCGGTCCTGTGCTTTGCGGAAACTTCAGGCATGAGGACTCTCGAATCCAGCCCGGTTGAGGGCGGTGGGCGCCGCTGCTGCAGAGCCCATACGAGAAAGGGATGGGGCCCAGGGCCCTGAGAGGGCTCCAGTTCTCTCTCATCATTGGGGAAACTGAGGTCCAGAGATTAGTGCTCAGCCTGAGGCGCACCCCACAGTGTGGCACGTTCTCACTATGTGAGCCTGCGGTATTTTTGTTTTTTGTTTGTTTTTTGTGAGCCTGTGTATTTTGATCTTGAAATACATTTAGTACTCCTGACCTAATAGAACCCCGAGATGAAGCTCTTAAAGTACTTAGCAGGCCGAGCACCTTGTAGGTGGCTAGCAAGTCACAGCCGTGATTAATGACAAGCTCTGGGCGTGGTTTTCCCAGATGCGCTCTGCCACTTGCAGCATTCCACAAAATAGACTCATTCTGGAATAGCGACGAGCCTATCCTCTGGGGAACCCTGAGTAACACCGGGTCAGCCCCACTGCGGGCCTCCCAGACGTCCTCTTGCCCAGGGCCACCTGTGAGAAGGGGGGAGGTGTGGCCAATATAATCATGACTAAGCCTGCACATCCCACCGCTGGGCTCAACTAGAGCAGGCCAGGAGTGGGCTGAGGGAAGGAGGACCCGGATGTTTAGAGACGGCTGTTATCTGCTGTTACACTGAAGGAACAGCTGAGCAGGGCTGGGGGCGTCCTTACAGCTGCTGACCGGGGTTCACGGAGCTCTCGTCCACCATGCGGTCGTACTCCAGCAGGAACTCATCCAGCTCGCCCGAGTCCCCAAAGGCTCCCCATTCCGTGTTGACGCACATGCGACCCTCGTCCCCTTCCACCAGCTCCACGTTCTGCATCTCCTCCATGTAGCAGGCGTTGCAGCCCGTGCCTGCGGGGACAGCACGCGTCAGGCCTCAGGGCTGCAGGGCTGGCCAGGTGACCCAGGATGAACCCGCCAGTCTCTTTCAGAGAACAGGACGGTAACACTGTCCCCACTGTTAGGTTTAGATCTAAAATGGCCCCCAGAGCCTCAGTGTTTGCTGTTAGGAAGTGGGGCCTGGTGGGAATGGGCAGCTGCTGGGGGCATGGCCTGGAAGGGTCTGTCTGTCATGCTGGCCCCTCTCTTGGCATGAGCAGCTTTCCTCTGTCTGGGCCCTTCCATCACACAAGGACTGAAACTTCTAAAATGTGAGCCAAATAAGACCTGTCCTTAAAGCTGTGGGTGTGGGTGTCAGGTTACTGGAAAGTGACGAAGACACTCATTTTCCTGGGTGGTTGAGACTAGGCTGTGCCAGTGCACTTAGCCAGCGATGGATGTGGGACATTCTGCTTTGTGCGCTTTAGCGCTGTTTCCTGGCACCCTGCAACGTGTCCCCGAGCCCCTCAGTTCTGAGCCCTGCTTCGTGTGAGCCTTGGGACAGGCTCTTGTTGTGCTCACTGCAAAGTGGACATGTGGCGTCCCGTAGCCGTGAGTTACAGAGCGTGCTGATGACGATGCCATGGCCTTAGGCCCAGCGCAGCCGCATGGGCCACACAGCTCTGGAGCTCTGAGTGACAACACAGCTATGCAGGGTGCCCAGCAGGAGGCAGGGTTCCCTGCCTTCCAGTTTTTTTGCGCAACCCAGAAATCTGGACTTTGATGTGAAGTCCCCAAATTTTAGGCTTCACTATAAACATGATTTTAAACACCAGGTGTTTGTGGGCAGATGTGACTCGTGGGCCCCAAAGGGTGCCCCGAGAAAGGTGTGCCTGAGCCCGAGCAGCTGCAGCCTGGTGTGTCGAGAACTCAGGCTGAGGCACCTCGGGCTCTGCGGGAGGGGCACAGCCAGGGACAGTGAGTAGATGTTGGACTTTCCATCCTAAAGGTGAGAACGAGAGCAGAAGTGGGCAACGGGTGGAGAGACAAAGCGAGGTCAGGCTCGTGCTTAAGAGAGACCACACGTTAGTTCATAGTGCTGCTGATATGTGTGGACGTGTGTAACATGCATAGTCTGTATAAAACATACAAATGTTTGAGGGGATGTAATTACAGCTGGGAGCCTACTCAGATGCTCAAATACATGACGTTTCTGAACTGATTCAGGAGGGCCCATGGGTGCAAATAACGCTCGTGGTCTTTCTGGGTAGCTGGGTCCCGAGAGCCCATGACAGATGACAGACAGGGTATGGGGGTTGTGGCTCCCTGTCCTGGTGCCTATTTCCCTGGGGAGGGGCCGCCTCTGGGGGTAGGAATATGGCTTGGGGTGGGGCCAGGCAGGCCCATGGAAAGACTTTCTAGGAAAGGGCGACGCCACTTTTGCGATTCTCTTCCACTTGGACAAATCTGTCCAGTGTGGCTAATTAACTGGATAAAGTGGTTTAATGACATCCGGTGTGTGTTTGCAGCTGGGAGCTCCTGTGATAGCATGGCGCTGTGAGTGTTGAATCTCCCTGCTGCACGCAGTGCCTGCAGCACCACACCCCCAGGCCGGCTGGCCCTGGCAGCAGGCACTGCCCCGACTGCGCTGGGGATGAGTGCTTCCTCCCCCATGCTGCCCCCGTGGGCCCCTCTGCAGCCTGGGACGGGTGAGGAGCCCTTACCCACGATCATGCCGACCTCACATTCGCGGTCTTCGTAGTAGCAGGAGATCATTGTGGCTACTGTGTCGTTCACCATGGCCACCACGTCCATCTCAAAGTCCTGCCAAGGAGCACAAAATAAGCCAGGCATGCTGGCACGCACCGGTGATCCCAATATGCTGGGAGGCTGGGGCAGGAGGATTGCAAGCTGGAGACCAGACTGGGCAGCCTTCCTTATCTCGAAAAATAAAAAGAGGCTGAGGGTGTTGCTCGGTGCAAAGACCCTGGGCTCATCTCCCAGGACTGTAAAGAAGAGAGAAGAGCAGGAGGAAGAAGAGGAGGAAGTGGTAGTGAGGAGCAGAAACCAGGATGATGGGGCTGGGGGAAGGGTGAGGTGGGCAGAGGCACTCCTCCAGGCGGGTGAAGGTGTCCTCACCCCTCTCCTCTTGATGGCGTCTCGCAGCAGCCCCACGATGTTGTTCCCTTCTGCTCCTGAGGCTTTGAAACCCTTGGTCCAGTTGAGGAGGATGCCCTGTGGGGCGAGGCGGGTTCATGCCACTAGCTCTGGGCAGGGAGCTGAGTCCTAAACTAGCTCCTCCCGGCCAGGGGGACGTGTGCCCCCACGGGGCAGTTGAGGAAACTGGCTCTCAGCATCCACACCACTTTGAGACTTGCTGGGGATGATTTTGCGTGAATATCTCATCTTTCCGCAGGGCTGGGTCCCAGGCAATTTAAGAATACGATTGTGATTGTGGTTGTGTGTGTGTGTGTGTGTGTGTGTGCATGTGTGCGTGCATGTGTGTATGGTACTGGATGTTGAACCCCAGGCCTCCTTGAACCTGCCAGGTGAGTGGCCCACTGCTGGACTGCAGCTACAGCCCTAGAATGTTTGGACAGTAAATTCCCACGATGTTCGCTCAGAAGAGCAAGGCAGGTCCCCAGAGGAGCAGTTCTGTCTGTATAAGATTGTGGTTCCTCCTGTAGCCCCCTTCTGCCTGCAGGGTACCGCTTGACCCACCTTGTGTCTCTGCAGGGACAGACGGGGACTTGGGAAACTGTGTGAGATGCTGCTCTGGTTGCTTTTACCTCGAGCCATGACCTGGTTTGGTTTCTGACCCAGAGGCCTCGTGTTTGCATATGTACATAGGCTGTGTGTGTGTGTGTGTGCGCGCATGCATATGTGTATATCCATGCAGGCATGCATACATGTGTGTGTGCATGTGTGCATGTGTCAAGTTGTAACCGCAGGGTAACTTGGGCATTTGAGGTGGGTGACAAGGCGGGTGGTGACCTGTGGCCGGCTGCACTCCCCACTGCAGACAGTAACAACCAGCTGACGCCGCTTACTTTGCAGACTCTCTCAGGCCATGTGTGACGGGGCAGTCATGCAGCCCTCATCGGCTCCCTCCTGTGTCCTGCCCTCCGCTCCCCGCCATCCTGCACTCCCCGCCCTGCCCTCCACCTGGTCACCTTGTCGATGTCCTCATGCCTCACGGGGAAGGAGAAGGTGAAGCCCAGGGGCAGCTTCTTGTGTTTCATCTGGTGCTTGTCCAAGAAGTCAGAGATGCACTCAGAGATGTAGTCAAAGAGCTGGAAGACACAGCGAGGTGGCCACTGGGTGCGGGGCAGGGCAGGCCAGCAGCCTTCTCTGGCCTGGGGTCACAGTTCTCCCTGGGGTGCTCAGCTTGCCTCCTGCTGTGGGCCACTACTCAGTCCCTGTACCTCCTCAGTGGCGGCCCGGGTCCCTAGCCCAGCTGTGCCATTGGCCCAGTCCCTACTAGAGCCTGTGAGGCCAGGCCAGCTGCTCCGTGAGGTCCAGGTGGGGGCACGTGCTTGGCCATAGCTACGACTTCTGTCTCCCTCACTGCTTCCAGGTGTCCGGGCTGCCCCAGCTCCCAGCCCCCTCTGATGGGCCTGTCCTCAGAGCTGGCAGCTCTGCAGAGGAACCAAGCTCTCTTCTGTGCTCCAGGGCCCAGCTGCACTAACAGACAGCAAGCTGTAGGCAGGTGAGGGCCTGGCAGTGTGTGGGGGCTTCTGCCTGGAACCTGGCCTCTCAGGGCTGCTCCATTTTTTATTTTTGGTTTTGGTTTTTGAGACAGGGTCTTGCTATGCAGTTCAGGCTGGCCTTGAACTCACTATGTAGCCCAGGCTGGCTTAGAACTCATGGAGATCCTCCTGCCTCAGCCTCCTGAGTGCTCAAATTACAGGTGTGCATTAGCACACCCTGCTTAATTTTTAGATGTTGACTTTTCCTCTGGGAAAGTAGACAGAGAACCACCAGCTGGGGGAGGGTCTTTTATACTGCAGCCTCTCCAGCCCAATGACTCCCTCCCACAATAGAGTGACCACAGGACTTGGTCTGGTTGGCCAGGCCTAGAGGCTGTGCACCAAGGCCTCTGAGCTACCTCTGGCCCTGGTGGGTGGGTGCATGGGTGGATGCATGGGTGGGTTGGTGGGTGAATGGGCCCTGGGATTCTGGTGGCCTCACCCCTGCCTGCCAGGCCCTCAAGCTGCTTACCATCTCTGCGGTGCCCGTCATGGCGTCCTCGGGGATGGAGTACATCTGGTGTTTGGTCTTCACGCTCCATTGTCCCTCCTCCCCCTCCCCCACCTTCACCAGCATCACCCTGAAGTTGGTGCCCCCCAGGTCCAGGGACAGGAAGTCTCCGACTTCTGCAGACAAAGAGAGACACACGCTGGCACTGCCTGGCAGGCCCGGGCTGGGAGGGACCCAGGCAGCTGGCCTGGGACCAGATCTAACAGGGCAGGTATGGGGCAGGGTAGCGGGTGTGGGTCACCAGCCCAGACTTTGGGGCCAAGTGAGAAGAGTCAGAGCACACTGGAGAAATGTCAGTGGGAACCCCCACTCTTAGACAGGCCCCGGGAGCCACTGAGGACCTGGCCTGCACTCAGGACGGGGCTGGGGCCCCCACAAGACCGTGGAGAGAGGTCCCTCCCTGAGATTAAAAAGCCAGTGGCCCCCCCCCCGGCTGGACCTGCAGAGCCAAGGGTGGGTGAGTTGGGGACATCATCGCTTGCCCAGGGGTCCTTTCTGGGGACAGCGGAGCCTTTGGCAGTGCCGTCCCTGCGGTACCTGAGCCTTCTGGGGTGGAACGCACGTAGGTGGGCAGCATCTTCACGCTCGCCTCCTCGTGGGTCTCCAGCCTCAGGCCTCGGTCCATCTCCTTCTGCATCCGCCGCATCACCTTCTTCAGGTCCTCCTCCTGCAGCTGGAACTCCGCCAGGATCTGCTCCGCCTGCGGGGAGGGTGCACACGCACATGTGTCTCCTGCTGTCCTCTGACCCTGGGTCCCAGTGCCCCATCTTTCCACATGGCCTGCCACGGTCGAAGGGGAGGCTTTTCAGGATCAGCCCTTGATGGTTAGTTACCCTGGGCGTGCTGGACGGGTGAGTGGCTTTTGTCTCTGGTGCCATCCTTGTGGCCCGGTCTGGTAGCGCCTCCTGGTGGCCCTCAGATCCGGGGCAAAAGGAGGAGGAGGGCACTACCTGGGCTGCTGGTGAGGGCTGGAGCCAGTCAGAGGGGCAGGCAGCTGGTATCACTGGGCAAAGACCTGGCCACCCTTCCCCTAGGACTTCCTGGAGCAAATGACAGCCAGCACTGGTGTGCACAGGGCGGCCAAGGCCAGGCTGGTCGGGGTGAGCCACTGCCTGCCCCTGCCCACTGGGGGTCTGCTGGCCAGGCACGGCAGCCATAGTGTAGGAGCTGAGCCTGGGGCAGGCCTCTGTGCATTAGTGTGAGGCCAGGAAGCTGAGATTTGACCAGCACTACTTCTGTGGGCTGTCCTGGGGGTCCCCGGTGAGCACAGCCATGAGTCTGTTCCCTTCGCCCAGCATCACATATTCATGGAGAAAGGCCACTAGACAGTGGTAAGAAACACAGTCATAAAGATACTTTTGAGCTAAGTGTATAATCCTACCATTCTAGGGGGCTGAGGCAGGAAGATTGCAAAGTTGAGCCCAGCCTGGGCAATTTAGCAACTTAAGGAGACTGTGTCTCAAAATTTAAAAAAATTAAAAAGGGCTGGGGATGTAGCTCAGTGCTAAGGCTCTGGGTTCAATCCCCACCACTGCACACAAAACAAATGAAAAGCCCCAAAGATATTTGCGTGTTTAACCAACAAAGAAAAGGTCAAGTCACTCTGATAAAAGCCATGGATCCATTCTTTATAGGAACTTGCTCTCTTTTTGTGTTACACATGAGCTCAGTGGGCTGGAGATGCTCTGAGTCACAGCCAGGAGGCAGCACACCCTTTGCTCCTTCTCCTTCAGTTTTTTAGACCCTGGATTTTGTTCAGGTGGCAGGGTGCCACATTAAGGCATGACTGGACTTGGCGAAGCCCAGCAACTGTATCCTTCCTGGCAATTGGACATGTAGCCCAGTTCTAGTCAATGGCAAATGAGAGGAAGACTGATTTTAGCAGCGGGGAGAATTACAAGGCTCCCCTGAGTTTGTGAGTATGGCTGTATGAGGATGTGATGACAGGCACTGAAACAGCCGTCTTGCAGCTATAAGGAGGCGAGGCTGTTAGCGCACTATGGAGGGCAGAGAAGACAGACTGATGCTGGGCCCCCGATTCTATTTTCTGGCTGTGGAGCAGATAATACCCACTGAAGCCACAGGTAGTGAGAATGTTGATTTCCTACAACCCAAAGCATCCTGGCTGGACAGCAGAGGAGAGGCATGAGGGGCCAGGCAGGATGAGGGGGGCTGGCTTTGAGAGCCCATCCCAGCATGCAGTGAAAGCAGGGTACCACGGAGGGCTGGCTTGAATGGTGAGGACAGCCAGGGGCAGTCTCTGGCCAGCACTGGGGGACACCACCACAAGACCGCAGAACACCCGGCCGAGGGGTCCTGAGTCTCCCCAGCAGAGCCAGGCCCCTCCACTCCCAGGCGCTGGCGTGGCCGTGTGCACAGTACCAGCTGCACACTTGCTTCTGAAGAAGATCACCCCAATCTGTCAGCCCCAGAATGGCCCCAGGTGCCTGAGAGCTGATGGCACCGGGGGGAGCCCTAGCCGAGGCACTTTCAGCACAGGAGTGAGGGCTGCTGGAGATGGCGGCAGCCCCCATGAGGAGTGGGGAGGGCCATATCCAGGCCCCCAGAGCCTGCACGCCTCCTTCGAGGGCTCCCTGCCTGCTTGCCACCCCCAACCCCAACCTGGCTTCTGCACACTGAAGGTGCTGGCCAGGCTGTCCTCCCCACCTGAGGCCCAGGCTCTGGGTGACCCTTACCAGCGTCAGGGCTGCCTGGGCTCGGCTCCTGGCCTCGTCCATGGCCATCTGTCTGAGGGGCCAACGGGGAGTTTGGGGGATGGAGCTGCTGCTGCCTGCTGAGGCGGGAGCGTGGCTGCCACTGTGGCATCTGAGGGCACCTGGGGCAGGTGAGGCTGCTTGGCCGAGAGGTGCCCAAGGCAGGCAGCCCAGGGCTTCCGCACTGAAGCACTCAGTGGGCAGCTACTGAGATACTCTGCCGACTGTGGCGGGGTCAGGGGCAGGGCCAGAAGGGCAGCGGAGGCTCATAGGGTCAGGGTTGCCAAGGGCCCTGAGGACAGGGCTATGGGGCAGGCTGCCATGCCCTCAGAGCACCGGCTGGGATTGCTGCTGGAGTTGTGGCCGAGCCAGCATGTCACCCTGCACTCCTGCACGCTCAGTGGAAAGAGGTGACAGGAAGGAGGATCCCTTGGGTTCCATCTGTGGGGAGCTCTGGGGTGCGTTGTGAATGTCTGGGGTGCTGCGGGGTACTCTGGTGGGAAGGAGTGACCCATATTAAGAAGGCCAGGGGTGTGCAGGCAAGACGCGGCTCCAGCCACAGTGGGGGACCCGCATGGGCAGCAGAGGACCCAGGGTTCAGATGGTCAGGGAAGTCTCGGTGACTCGAGGGTGTGGGGTCCCCCAAGCCCACTGACACAAAGCTTCCTGGCCACACGAGCAGGAGCAGGTGCATGTCCCCAGGGCCACCCTGAGGGATCCTCAAGTAAAAAATACAAGTTTTAGTCAGCACGCTTCAACTGTCAGTCATAGATGGTGCCTCAAAGTGCCTTGATCCAAAAAAACCCCAGTAAAGTGGGGTGGTCGTTAGGCTTTGTGACTGCAAAGTTCAGGCCCAGAACTGACTCAGGGCATACTCATGGGGTGAGACACACCCCAGCCCCTCCTCCTCATGCTTGCCTGGGAATGACCCCAAAGACCCTGCCCTGGCTGGCACTTTCCAAGCCCTGCTAAAATTAGCCACAGATGGCAGGAAGTCAGGGTACAGAGGGTGCCTTGTGGGGATGCCGGGCTCATTCACCAATGGCCGTTGTGGTCACCTCCCGACTTGATCGATCCTCTTCCCCAAATAGGCCTCAAGACTTCATGTGACAGGTCGCTGACCCCCTAGCCCATTTGCTGTGGGCGCAGGGTTGTGTCTGAGTTTGGAGCTGGCCAGGTCCACTTGGTTCACCTGGGCTGTGCCATGGCGCAGCAAGGAGGGCCCAGCTCTTCTTGCTCTGTTCCTTGGGTGCAGGAGTCAGAGATGTGGACCAAGAACTTGTGTGTGTGTGTGTGTTGTATGTGTGTGTTACTAGGGATTGAACCTAAAGCCTACTGAGCTACAAACCCTACCTGTTATATTTTTTTAGTTTGAGACAAGGTCTCCCAAAGTTGCACAGTCTGGCCTCAAACTTGAGATCTTCCTGCTTCAGCATCCTACCAAGCAGCTGGGACAACAGGCATGTGCCACCATACCTGGCTCTGCTTAGAACTTTCTAGAAAAAACCCAGAGCTATGTGATAATGGGCCAAGATGTTTTAGTAGGTAGTGAGCTCCCCGCTGGAATAGAGGGGAGCAGATTGGAATGGCCCTGTTCTGTGTCCCAGCTGACTTCCCTGCCCTAGCTGTTCAAGGAGCTGCCTCACGGGCCTGACCCGATTTTGGTTTCCATTTATCTCACTAATTTCCTTTATCTCAATAGTACAAATTCAGTGATAGATATTCAAGATTATTCCTTCCGGTATCAAAAAATGGCACAGAGCCCACACATCCAAATACTGTTTAGGGAACTGACTAAATAAATTACGCAACATGCAGTCATTGAAAATGGTTGAAAATTGAAGCCGGGCTGGGTGGCGCAAACCTGTAATCTTAGCACCTGGGAGGCTGAGGCAAGAGGACTGCTATGAGTTCAAGGCCATCTTGGGCTAAAATAGGGAGTTCAAGGCCAACTTGAACTACATAGCAAGACCCTGTCTCAAAAAAAAAAAAAAAAAAAAAGAAAAAAAGGAAAGGAGAAAATGGTGAGGTTGATTTGCCTCTGTTGGCATGGAAAGATGCTTGTTTAAAGGAACTGTTTATTCTTTTACTTTTGATTTTTTTTGGTGTGTGACAGGGTCTTGCTATGTAGTTTAGAATGATCTTGAACTCATTATGTAGTTCAGGCTGGCCTCAGACTCATGATCCTCCTGCCTCAGCCTCTGAGCTGGGATTCCAGGGAGCACCACCACGCCTGGTTTAAAGGAATTGTTTACAGGAACCCGGTGTTCAACACAGGGGATTCTCCACTGGGGCTGGCCTGTTTTGTCCTCTCCCATGATCAACAAATCAAGTGCCTGGGCAAGCAACAGGATACTGTAGAAGAGATGGAGTGTGACCGGAAGCTGGGCCTTGAACGACATGTGGCTCCTGTCTTTTTGTGCATTGTTCACTGTGAGGGAGGCCAGCTGCCATGCTGTGGGGACACAGGAGCCCTTGGGATGATCTAACCCAGAAGGAAGCCCCTGCCGCCGGGCCGCACCCGTTTGGGCCCGACAGAGAACCACTTGGAAGTGGCCTGTAGCCCCGTCACAGCTTCAGGACACTCAGCTCCTCCAGGCCACTAAGGAAACTCGAACTGCTTCTGAGTTTCTGCCCTGCAGAGGCAGCAAAGGTTTGTTGTTTAGAGTCACTGAGTCTTGAGGTGATGTGTTCCATAAGCTGGATAATTACACGTGGAAAACAGAAAACCTGGTATGATCCGTTTTGCCACAGATATGCGTTGATGCTATATATAGACAATATACATCTGGGAGAGCTAGGCGCAGTGGTGAATGCCTGTAATCCCAGCTGCTCCAGAGGCTGAGGCAGGAGGATTGCAAGTTTGAGGCCAGCCTGGGCAACTAGGTGAGACCCTGACTCAAAACCACAAAAAGGGCTGGGATGCAGCTCCATGGTAGACCACATGCCTAGCATGTGCAGCACCCTGGGTTCAAGCCCCAGCTGC